CTCTGATGCGAATGTGTGTCTTGGAGAGGCTGAAGCCGTTGGAGTTGGGCCGGCTGGGGTTTTGATCCTGCAATAAGAGCTATGGCCTGTTATGGCCAGTGTTTGAAACAGCGGTCCATGTAGAGAGGACCATCAGAAACTGTTTCTTATTTTGTCCAATCTTTTTTTGGGCTTGGATTCTATTGCTTTCGTTCTGGAATTGCCCTAGAAAGCCTTGGAATGACTTTCAGACTCACTGTCCGACGCTGCCATTCAAGGCATCAAGATTTCCATTTCCAATGGTGCTGCCATCCCCGACGACATGTTGCTGCAGTTAGAAGGCGAGGGATTTCAGGGCGACTTCTAGTCAGTCTCTACTGTACTATATGCCTGCAACACCGTTGATGTTCGTGAACTCAAGGGCCCTTATCAATCACTTGGCCATGGGTCCATGGGTTCAGAGATGTCATAGAAATTGAAAGAATTTGCGGATTGATTGTGGAGATAAAGCACAAAGACCTTTGGGTTCGACTGCGACATTGCCCAGGCAACAGTCAGGGTCTCATCCAGTGTGCACGCGACGATGCCAACGCCTACTGCGGCTATTTGGCCGCGATCTATGCCTCATTGGCAGAGGACCATGCGAGAAGCAAGCGATGAAACAGACAGAATAGTCTTAACTTATTACTACAATGTGTTCTCATCCGTGGTAGGTTTCCAGGGCAGGGCAGATTGTTTTTTTCCCTGTCTCCTGACTCGTGACTCAGACTGATGTTCATATTGAACAATTGTTGCTCATAGCTACTTCGGACATCATTAGTCTTGATTCCGTTGTGTTGATGTTCGGTCTGGTTTCAGCCATGTGGACGAGGACGATCCAGAGAGGCTTAGATGGTTGAAAAGGGCTTGTGAAGTACCGATTTCTGTGGCTGAGTTCGCGCTTAAGACAGGCAGCTTGGGCTGGGGATGCATTCAATTTGACTCTGCAAGTGTCCGACTGTCTCCAAGTCACAGATGGCACTAGCATTTTTGCATAGACCCTTCAACATTTTGTTGATGTATTGTTGTGATAGCTCCATTCACCCTGGATGATGTGCAGGCACTGCATGCTTGCATTGGAAAAGGCACATCAAGCAGAGTCTGGGCTGAGCTATTGCAGAGCTCCATGTGCTGTGCAAGTGTTGAAAACGAAAGCCAAGTTTGAATCGGGTGTTGCTGAGGTGGTGAGATCTACAGAACCTAAATTTCACAGCTTTCCTTGAAAGGAATGGTGGATGTGTTTGATGTTCCAAGACCTATTGGTCGTCATGGAAGTCGGGACTTTGCAGGGTGATTGGCAAATCAGGACTCTGCGGGGTGATTGGATCGCGGGTGGCAAACTGCTGCGCACGGGTTTGGAGATCTCTTTGAAGAATGTCTCCACCAACCTGAGAAGTTCCCTGACCCGCACCAGAGGCATGTAGCGGCTTCGAGTGGATGGGATGGCGGTGATGTTCAAGATTGAAGTTCAGTGGCCGAAGTGCCACCCCACACGCACATACTCTCCCACTCACTGATGTGCAGATGGGAGAGTTGCCTGTTTGAAAACCAATTTCCTTTACACAGGGCCTTGGTTTGTTTCTGCTTTCTGGGGTAGTCAGGTAGTCATGGCCTGACGGCTGATGATTTGCCCGCTGAGTGTCCTGATGCTACGAGGTTTGGGCACCAATCGCTTCAAGGAGATTAGCGAGCGCTTGGCGCAGCTACGAGAGTATGAACCACCTTGGGAGGATCTGCTGGACTTGCCCCCATGAGTGATCTTCGGAGAACATATTCAGTCATACTGAGTGCCATTCTTAATGTCTCTCCAAGATATACTCTGATTTCTGAGTGCATTGGTGGCGGATATCAGCCGCTGGGCATTGTGCCTCAGCCTGTCTCAGAGTTTGACAGGAGTGTTTCATCTCTTTGGCCAACTCTAGCATGAAAAAGGTCGCTTGTGGCTGAGACTGGTCGGCTTGTTCTCGCAGGCCCCTAGGCGATGCAGCTCGGCTCGGTCCTGCGGGGTTCGCCAGGTCATCACCACCGAAGCGGCCCTGGGCACAGCACTGCGAATGAAGGCGCAGCGGGGCTGTGCGAGGGAGTGGGTGCAGTGGAGAGTATGGATGTTGCTTTGTTTGTGGAAGGTCTTTGTGGAAGGTGTTTGCAGCATAGGCAACCAATACAAAAGATGAAGCCTGAGGAGCAAAAGAAGGGCCACAAACCTGTGTGGCCCCATCTCAACCCTTTCTGACCATTTGCTTTGCCCAGGGTGATTTGGAGGAGGCCATTGTACCTTGGTGAGGGAATGGTGGCAAGGGTGACGATGCAGAAGGGATAGTGCAAATGCCCAGGGCCTCGCAGGTTGAAAAAAGACCTACCTAGAATTCAGCAGATTCCTCAAGCAACCAGTGAAAGAGCAACAAAAACAATGAGATTTGTTGGATGAATTGATGGAATCGGAATATATTATATGTAAAGATGTTGTTTGATTGTTTGTTTCCCTTGAAAGGCTTGTCTTGCCAGTCCGGAAGCTTCGGACTGCCAGTGACTGCCAGCTTCGTCTCCATGAGTGGTGCTTTGGCTCGATCCACGAGCTGCTCCTGAAACGGTGTTTTTCATGTTTTTTTCCGACCACAGAAGAAGTACACTCCCTGAAACAATCATGGAAGTGGAACAGTTCGGCCCCTGGAAGACCAATTGTCCTCTACAAGGGCGTCTGCGGCCTGCTTCCATGATTGTTTGAAGGAGGGTAGGTGTTTGATTTGTTTCCAACACCCATTTGCTGGTCATAACTCATAACGCGGTCACGTTGCTTCCGATTCATGTTCTTAGCATGTTGTCCCTTGGCTGTGTTTGTCCTTTCCGTTTCCATCCATCAACTTGATAGATATACTGCATACAGCATCTGTTCCCTTTGTTTTGCCCCTTTCACCTAATCGGCGTTTCCTTGCACAAAGCATCATGCCATGAAACGCACTGTGCAATGCGGCCCGAGCTTTGGCGGGAACTTTTGTCCTGCCCTTCACCGAGGCAATTCTTTCAAAGTCACAGAAGGCCATGTGCGAGACTCTGGGCTCTTCTCATCCGCAGGTGCCCGGGATAGTGGGTGCAGTTGAGAAGCCACGAAAACTGGAGCTGTGCCATCCCAGCAGCTCGAAATGGACACAGCATGACATAGACATCATAGAGATAGCAGAACAGGATAGTCAACCGCTATAAATACAGTTCGAAACCCGTGACGGCCATGTTTGGGGTCATGCGCCAAGCTCTCTCTCTCTCTCTCGCAAGTTCTTCGTCAAACACGCTACAGAATCAAGACTTTGTTGAAGCTTCTGGCCGTTAGGGAGCGTCGGGCCCACCAGACCTGCTGCAATTCGCAGGTCTTGCACAATTTAGGCAGCTTGGGCTTGGGCTATGCAGCCCAAGGAAAGACCAAAAAGGCGGGTCGGCAGCATGGATGGGTGCATTCATGTGCATTCCCTTCAAGGATGCCACAAGGATCCAGGAAGATCAACATAACTCCATGGTTCTTGTCCCAAATGCGTTCCCCTCCGAATCGGTCACGCTTGTCACCGTGCAGAATCGCTCGCTCGCCCATCCTCCAAGTCTCGTGTGCGAAGTGGGGTTCTTCGCCCATCCCCATCACTCCACCAGGCCAAAGAGCCATCGCTACTAGTCACAAGAAGCTACTAGGGGCTCCTGGCATCGCTACTAGGAGCAAGGACGCTACTGGGGGGCTCCTGGCATCGCTACTAGCAACAAGAAGCTAAGGCCAAAGAGCTGCATGGAGAGTTGCTCTCACAGTTGCAGTTGCTACCTCCCAAGCAGCTGAAAGGGATGCACCCGGGTCTCGACCAGTTACGCCACCGGTGTTTTTCGTGTCGTTTTCGGAGAGAGAAGAGCGAATGCGATGCGGGTTGGGGTGGTGGAAGGTGTGAAGGTGCGTGTTTCTTCAACTGAGGTCCAGTGGATCGCTACTAAGCGCTGGTTACACCAACACATCACATGATTCCAGGATTTGGACGTTCGCTACTGACCGGAACATATGTGTTTGTGTTTTTGATTATTGCTGTAGGTCTTTGCAACGACATTGCTGACAGCGCCCAGGCTTCTCAAATTGTTCGCACTACAACTGGGTTTTGTTGAGGTATTCAGAGGCAGCCAAGCTGGAGGCACAATTGCAGGATCAGATTCCAACTTTCAAGGTGCCGGTCGGATGGAGCGAGCGGGGGTTTGTTTGCAGCGAGGGTGAGTAGCTGCCAGTAGCAGGTTTGTTGTACACCATGCCTTTCGCGCCATCCTCACTGTAGAATGTAGAAGTCCCTTTGTTGAACTGAACCTAGGGGTGCGCCCACTCGGGTCCGTCAGATGCGCCTGCGGCGATGCTGTGCGAACAGATGCAGCTGGCGTTGGATTCCACGGTGCCTGGGACTTGACACACCGAAGAGCCGGGAGTGGAAGCGTTTTTGGATTCTTGATTCGACACAGACCGAAGACCAAATCGTCTCGTTCGTCTGCACCTTTTTGCACCTATTCCATTTTGGCCATTGCGAGGATTTCAGACCTCTTCCGCACGAAGCAGCATGAGAGCTGACCAAGACGCAGTGGAAAATGGAGCCAAGACCATTCACCAAGTGACCATCCGGACACCACGAAGGTCATCGAAGTGTATGTCACGGCCCTTGGAAAGACTGTTTTGCTATGCTCTGCCAGTCCCTCTACCACGAGGGTTTTGTCCACACTCATGTTACTGTAATATAATGTTAGTCACGCAAAGTGCAATTAAACATGAATTAATTTACGAATGTCAACGATGGGATGCTTCCAGACACCACGAACTTTTCCGATAACTCAAGTCTTGTGGGTCCTGGGTGAGTTCTGGTATGTTGGGAACCTATCATCAGGTTCTATCAAGGTTCTATCAAGCCCAGTATCAAGCCCTTATCCTGTTACTAAGTTTTTTCCACATCTTGCAGTCCCAAGCCGGGCGCGCGTTCTAGGCCGGAGAGGCCTTCAAAGAGAAGCTCCAAGGGCTTCGGGAGCTGCGGACTCAGAGAGAGGGGGGGATTTGCGTAGAACAGTTGTGAGCGTTTTGATGGTGTTTGATGTGTTGTTTGATGTTTATATTCTTTATGTTAATGTTTGGCAGGTTGACCTCTCAGGTTTTCGGGTGATTTGCTTTAAGAGTTCGACCCTGCAGTCCTTGTTGGAGGTTTGCTCATACCTCCCCACCTTGTAAATCAATCCCACCTGCAAAAGGAGGGCAGGGAAGGAGGGAGGGAGGGAGGGAGCGAGAGAGAGGCACAGAGAGAGAGAGAGACCGAAAAAATCCTGTGAGAACCTCTGACTTTTAACATGAAAACTCAGACTGCTTGCTAAATCGGGCGGGCAGACAGTTCAGAGTTCTGGAAATGAAATCCCGCTCCTTTGTGGTGATCAATGTAGAATGGCAGCACGTAGCAGAAGCCGTGTTGAAGCCAAGTAGCAGCGGTACATCCCTCGTTGCTTTCCGTCGAGGGATGTGGAGGGTCCCGATCCTCCCGGGCCCACGGCACGTCATGAGAGCATCCGGGATGAACGCCAAGGAGGGGAGAGCTGCCCGAGTCTTTGACCTCGCCCTGGTCGGAGACTCGATGATACGCACCTTCTTGGCGGTCAGAGGCATCAAGTGGGCGAACCGGTATATCTTCGTAGCATGACCGGTGTTATTGCTTTCAAAGTTGGAAGGCCGTGTTTTTGCCACGCAGACATCAGGGATCACAGCCACGATAACATCTTGGGGCACCAGCTGCAGATTCTAGGTCATGACAGAGGGCTCAAAGAGGCCAAGGACCAAAGACCTGCAAAGACCCTCACATCTTTTAGGATGCAGCTGTTGATCCTAGGCCGAATAACGTGCCTGAAGCAGTGGGCTTAGCTCAAGTGGTGGTACCATGTTGTAAGTTCCATGCTGGGTTCATAACACTTCAGAAATGAACTCCACTCCCTCCATGGAATCAGACCCTGGAAGTGGAGTGAAAACCACCTGTTTGTTCCTTCAGATGTTCGGGTCCCACCTGTTCGGGGCCATGCGATCCGACCACGCGTGGGCACCGATGCCTAACGCAAGATGACAGCGAGTGTTTCCGTACTATGAGGTCAAGGTGGAGGACAGAGGCATGTTCAAGAAATCAGGCTCCAAAACATGTTTTGCGCTACACTAGTTATATAACTATAGTAGGCATAGGTTGTCTCACGTCTTAATTTCCTACCTGACCTGACCTCACTTGGCACCAGCCTTTGGCCCAAAAGGAGGTCATTCCGAGTCGATCTCCCTGAGGCGATGCTCAAACTCATCTCACATGGCGTGAAGCGGAAGGCATTTTGGTAATTAGTGAGAATGCTCCAACGAATCGTTTTCCCTTGACTTTGGAGCACTTTTGCCTCAAGAGTAGATGACAAATCCCATTGGTTGAGCGCCTTGGTCCTCATGTGACTCACATGGCAGGTTGCAGCATCTATTGCAGTACATCCGCCAAAGTCTGCAGCCCAGAAGACCCTGGCTTCGACAAGTTTGTTGAGTCTTGATGCGTTTTCTGGTACGTGACATGCAGACACTCTGAGCCCTCAAATGCAGAGATCACTATATACCAAATCCAGAGCTGCAGCTTGTAGCAAATCCTGAGAGCTTCTCCCACCAGAGCTGAAACTGCAGGGTATCAAGCGCTGAATCCACCAGCTCGGGCCATTGTTGGTTCGTTTTGCCGCGACGACCAACATTCCAGGTATTACGCCATGATCATGTTTTTGGCCGAGTGGTTGCGGTGCCCAGCAGCCTTCGAGGCCGTATTGATGGGGCAGGCATCATCAACGCACACCGTCACGGGAGTAACATGAGCATGGCTCTGAAATGGGGTCGATCGGCTTCAGAAGCCAACTAGCATGAAAGGTTTTGCAAATGTCGCGCCACGTCTTAATGCGCTGATGTGGCATGATGTGGCAATCTTACGATGGAATCGACAAGTGACAGAGATCGAGGGGGCTCAAGATGGTTCAAGGGGTTTGACAAGATGTACTTGGGAATTGGGATTGGTTTTGGACGCTTCAGAGTCATTAAATCTAATGCTTTGAACGCCCAATCTTGGCAGATCTTGGCAGTATAACTCTACTGTAGAGCTCCAGCCATATTCTCAGAAGGTGGTTAGACCTCCCTGGCACCCACCCCACCTGAGGAGGTAGCTGGAGCAGTGAGAGTTATCAACCATTTGGGCATTTCACAATGTTAATTATAAGTTAGACCTATTTGGTCGTTAGGTGTATCCGCTGTGCCGGAGTCTTTGTACAGGCTCGCATTGGATGCCCAGTCGGAGTCCAGTCTTACTGGTGTTTTATGTGGAAGTTGCTCGCCGCAGGCGCTGAACGTCTATGTGGTGTTCCAGTTTCAGAAGGCTTGATGCAGTGCGAACTGGTCTTCCAAGGATGCTTAGGTTTGGGCGTTGCAACCATGCAAGCAACAAGACGGGTACGTGTGTGAGCTTCTATGACGAAGTGTGTCTCAACTGTTCAGATAGGCCAGAGAGCTCACTTCTGCCATCTCACAGGATTTAGACCTATTCCGCGAAGCCCTGGATTGTACAAGCTTTGAGCTCAGTAATTTGCCCACTTGCAAGGTGGGAATAGCATACTTTAGTCACGGCTAACTTAGTTGAGAGCCATGTGCCGAAGAAAGACTGATTCCAGTGTAGTTGTGCTCCTGGTGGTCCTTGTTTTTTGGACACTTGAACGGCCTTGAAAACACGACGGCTGAGATGGTCAGGCGACGATAAGAACTTACGCCGAGTTCGCCGTTCGTTTCGGCGTCTCTTCGGCGCTGAGTCCCTGGGACTCCAGAGTTATGGGTGCCCGTCGTGGCCGACGAGCCGAAGAATGGATGGCGGGGCGGGAAGTTGGGCGGTGGTTGGGGCCTAAAACAAGGGACTGCAGGGATTAGTAAGGGACCACAACCCACATGTGGATGGACATGGGATGTTCCAGTCGAGCAGCCAGTCGGAGAATGTTGGAGAGTTTGCTAAAGAATCGATACATAAGGCATGTAATATGCACATATAAAGTAAGTCCAGCTGTAATTATAACATGAGGATACATGAGGCGTATGTACATTATATATATATATATATTAATTTTTGCTTGAGCTCCAGTTGAGCTACCTGTGGTTCGAACATGGCCAATTCGTCCCAGAAAAGACTGGTCGTCGCACTCCTCGGACTTGCAGCTCTTCCGTTCGGCACCGACCGCCACTGGTTGGCCGCTGGAGAGACTCCAACAGCCAAGTCCCGCAGGCCGAAGGCGTATTCCTTGGGCAATCAGTGCCCCCCTTGTGATTGCCGCCTTGGGTTAGGGACCCGTACAAACAGCTGGGCTGAAAGACTATCCCCCTGTGCGGGAAGGTCAGAACTCGAAGAGTGTTTGGTCACCATGATTCAGCGGGTTAGCTATGCTCAGTTTGCTGTAGAACTACTCCTGTCTCGGCACTGGTCAGCATAGGACAACCGCAAAGGCAAAAGGGGGCAAAAGGCATCAGGAAATAGTATCATAGATGCATGCATAGTGCATAGAAGACAGACGATTACTGATGCATTATGCATCATGTTTTCTCTGAAAGGCCCCCATCTTTGAGACAGGTACATTGCTGCGTACAAGAAGTACTTTGGTTCGGCTCGACATGTTTGATCGCTGTGTAATCAAAGATGACTTGCAAAGGTCTACTATAGCCCAGAGATTCATTGTGATGCATTTGTTCTTGCGCAATTTGCGTATGCTTGCCCGGTGTCGGTGGTTGTCCACGGCTCAAGTAGCTTTGGGCGGCTAAGTGGCCATGGAGGGCACAAATCCCACAGATGGCAGCGAAGCCTTTGCCACTTGGTTCCAGTCAAAAGATTCACTGCTATGCCTGTCGGAGTAGGAGTGAGCCCACACCCCTTTTTGTGCATGATAAATCGAATGTACTCATTACAGTTAAACGCAATTCCTTATCGATTGCACCATGTGCTTTCCTTGTTTTGGTCCTTCCCCACTGATCGTCTCTGGCAATACTTGTATGATGTTAACCGGGTCAGAACCTCAAGTTCCCATCTCGACTTCCAGATTTCAGATACTTCCTGTCACTGGCACAACCGGGTGATTGATCTCAGGTCACTTATGGCCGCGGCTTGTTGAAGATCTTCAATGGCCCGAAGAATTTCGGATTTATCTCTCCAGTCTTCAAGGGCGAAGACACTGAAGGTCCTCCGCTCCCTTCCTCGGTCGATGAAGGCCGGCCACCGTTTTTCTTTGGTTTCCGTGGCTGGTCGTTTCGTGGATGATCACTTTACTTGACCTCGGGCATCTCTAGTTGGTCTGTGTACCAGCCGTTGTTAGCCCCTATATAGCCAAGATGCATCCCAGCAGCTCAGCACGGCGAAAACGCGACAAATGCATCCGCGGTGGCGGTGGTTCGCCACATGGACGAGGTATTTGGTTCTTCGGGAATCACTCGTTGCCCTTCCGAGTGGCCTTGGGCATCGAATTGACCTTCGAGATTTGGGAGAACTCCCAGGCACAGGGGCCCTTTTGGGGCCTGGGGGCCCAGAGAGTTGGGAGGTTTGAGGGCTGGGGCTTTTTCTTGTAAATCTATGTCTATTTGTCAATTGTGTATGTGATGTATTCTTTAGGTATATACACATGTAGGAATTTACATGACAAATAAAGGTCAGAAGGTTTGGGAACCAAAAAGTTGAGTGAATTCTGTCAATTCGGGGGGTGGGGTTAATCATGGGGAGAGATCCCAAAGACTAAATGCCTTCATGAGGAGCGATCCCCAAGACTGAATCTCTCCATGAAGAGGGCTCCGCCAGAGGAAGGGAGGCAATTAGTCTTGGAGTTTGTTTGGCGAAGAAGCTGGGCCTAACCAATTGGAGGTGGGTTGTGTGTACCCGCTTGTTTGAAAAAATTGGCAACCAGGTTTTTGAACTGTGGTTGGCATTTCAGTAGTCAGTTGAACCAAACTACTGGACTAGACGTGTGGTCCTTACTGCCTTACTCATGCGTCGACATTATTGCTCAGATCAACTGGCCACTATGCTGCATTCAGGAGCTTTTGGGAGTTTTCTGACGGGATTCACGAGCTGGTACAGGAATGGCCACATCCAAGTGGTCTTTGCCGGCGGCATTCTGTTTGTAGATGAAGGCCTCAAGCTTGGAACTGTATAGGACTTCCTGTCCTTTGGTATTTCATTTCGGGGTGCATAGACGCGGGATTCGCCAATTGAGAATCTTCGGATTTTGTTCATCAACTGTCATACTGCACTGTAAGAAAAAAGGGCCAATTCCTGGGCACCTTGCCGATCGCAGTCGTTGAGAGTGAACCAACATCTCTCTACTCGCAGCAACCCCCACGCCGCAGGGGAAGGCTCAGGCACGAAGTGTTCAGGTGACGAGTGAGCCTTCGGCCATTGTGCCAGTGGAGCAGAAGCAGGACCCCGCCATTGGATTCATGACGGTCCTGGTGGCAGAATGACAGAGATGTTGTGGTTCAACAGGTGAATGAATGAGCGCTGAATGAGCAGGTCCCCCTTCATTCAACAGAGATGTGCTGGTTCATGACGGTTGCGAAATCCTGCGCCCAGAACTTCTGTACCTGCCACGTCTCTCGACCGAGGTGTCGGAAGCAGGCAACCCTGACCGGATGCTAAAGGCTTCAAGTCTCTTGATGTCTCTTGAGTTGATGTTTCGGTCTTTGCGCAGGAGATCCAACAGGCACTACCTTCGAGGCATCATCATCAAAAGCAGAATTTGCACCCCAACGAGCCGAGGGTCATTTATCCTTCGGTGTACGTCTCTGATGTGCCCGTGGAGTGGAACGAGGCGCAGCACACAACGGGAAAAAAGATGAAAAATGTTGTTTTTTTGATGTTTCTTGAACTGCTTGTTTGCCCGTGCCATCCCCTACCCTATGATAAGCTCATGAACATGCGTGCGCAACTGTTGTTGATGGTTGTATGCCTTCAGCTTCTTCGCACGTGTGATTTTCTGCCACGCAGGCCGCTATTCGAAAGCTGCATAGGCAGCTTGGATTGAACCCGGACACGATCATGGGTCTAAAGTTCCTGCCCTTCACCGAGGTGTCCTTAGGCAGGATCCGGTGTGACATGTTAGGATGTGAGGAAAGGCACCTGGAGACAGCGTGGAGATGTGGGCGATTTGCCGGGCAGCAGGGAACCACATCGTTGGGCCTTCAAGTGCTTGTGGCCCCCTTGCGAATGCCCAGAAGACCTAATCACTAGCTCCTTCTCCTCCCATCCAGACCTCCCTGGACGCTCCTAGTGACACTGCTTCGCCGTGTTTGGGAGGTTTGGCTGGCACCAAAGGAGAGAAGCAGGCCACGCCGGTCACTGGCTCGGTGATTTTGCGCTACCTCAACGAGGAGGCGGCCAATGCAGCGGTGGAACGCTTGAAGGGCCATCCCATCCAGACCTCCTCGGGTGTCACCAAGCATTTGGGCGCCAAGCATGCTACACCACCCAAGTGGGTGGTACAACGAAAGCAGCAGGAGGATGAGGCGCACTTTTGTGATTCGAGCGGTTTTGAAAACTTGTTCTGGAAAACATTATTAATCCGCTTGTGGCGTTAAAAGGGCAGTCGATTTGTGCTGTTCAAGTTCAATGCAATGATTTCCAGAATCTTCAGGCAAAAAAGATCACCGGCCATCATCATCAACATCATCACCATCAAAGTGCTGGTGACAAAGGTCAGAAATTGAAGACCACTGAGGGCGAAAGCCAGAAGGTCTCGGGCTATGTGCACCGGGTGTCGATGGCAGGCTATGGTGTGATCAAGTCCCCTGAGTGGGGTGAGATCCTTTGGCGACAGTTCGAGCTCCCGACGAATCTCCGATGCCTACAGTTCACGGACCGTGCCAAGTTCGTGGCACAAGTGGAGCATCGAGAAGACTATCGGCGCTTGAAGGACCTTCATAGATGTTTATAGACAGTTCTAGATTTTAGAGTTGTCCATCCCATGAGCCAAGAACTCAAGAAAGCGTAAGATGTCGTAAGTGAAGTGTTTGCGACCTTGGGAGAGGGGAAAATATCAAAAAAGAACATTAAATCACATCACCACTCGTTGCTCACTCGAATGCTCGTATTTTCAAGCTCCGAATGGTCCTTGACCTCGCTGTGTGAGGACATGGTCGGAAAGCAGGTGGATGCCGAACTCTACAAACTGCCGGATGGACAGTTGCGTGCCTCCCACGTGAGGGCCTTGCGGCCGGTCTTGGAGAACGCAGCTGACGATGAGATGCCACAACTCGAGGGCCAGGATGAGGATCGAAGTAGGGAAGGGCACCAACCGAGGCATCCGCGCTTGGTATGACTAGTTGGGAATCTTAGTGTGAGGATGTGTAGGACCATCAATGAACATTTGAGGTCAAGCATGTGAAGAGTAGATTGAGCTAGTTCCAACCTGCAGGCTTCTACGTGGTTTCTATCGAGGCAGTTTGAGTTTCATGTATTTTCCCTGTTTTGTAGCTGCCCGGCTGTGTTCCAGCACGGAGTCGCCACACCTGGGATACCGATTCCCAAGCCCTCCTCACAATGGAAACGACGAGTGTCTCAAAGGGTCCCACCACGCTGCATCCACGGGGTGTTTCTCAGGAGCCACCGAGCTTTCCCCCGGTGCCTGGGATGCCGCCCTTCCCTGGGATGCCCTTTATGGACCCCTCCTTCGCCATGATGGGCATGCCACCGCCCTGGGCCATGGGATTCTTGGCTTATTGGAACCGGGCCAAGCAACCTGAAACGGGGAAACGGGGCATGTAAATGTAGGTGTGCGATGCGAAGTCCATGAATTCTATCAGCTATCGCTTTCGGTAGTACATGTGCCGACTGGAAGATGGTTATGGCCAAGATATCCGTCTAGGCCGATGTCTTTTTGCTTGGCATGTATTGTCCAAGCTTTTCGCGTGCTTTGTGAGACATAGTCGTGGACATGAGTTCAGTTCACTCGACAGGACGTCCGACCCGAGCGTCCAGAATTCCTCGACAGCTGTGGTTTTGGTGGTTTTTCATGCTGGGCCAGCTGCCATATCCAAGTCGTTTAGCATGGATGGGGCGTTCCTTGACAAAGGCTCATGTCAGATCATGTCAGCCAAGGGCGAAAAGAGAAGAAGAAAGACAAAAAGGATAAAAAGGACCCAAGGGTTGTGCCCATGCTGCTTTTGGCTCAATGAACAGAGGACCTCCCATTCACCTTGCTTAATTGCAGGCAACAGAGGGTTGGGCCCTAGACACTGTGCTATTGTTTACCAGGAGAAGAAGGAAAAGAAGAAGAAGAAAGGAAAGGCCTCCAATTCAGAGGAAGCGAGGCCCAAAAAGCGAAAGATTGACGACAACGACTTCTAGAGGCGGTGGCGAGGAAAAAGAAGCCTTTGCCGCTGCACAGGGCTGCATTGAGCTATGTCATGTATTGCCAAGTATAGCACAGTAGCATTTGGCTGAAAAGCTCCCGCTAATGGCCATGTTACTGCAATGCTCATCGATGCCTGGAACTCCTTCGGGCTTTTCGTATGTGTTTATGTCTATAATATAATCACTAGCAGCTACACGGACTTGCAGGGTGCACACAGACTTCTTTCCTTTGCAAACGGCTACGAAGACTACCGACTCGGGTTTCCTACTTGCATCTGCACCATGACATCTCACGTTTGCTTTCGGAGTTAGCCTCAATTTACTCATGGGGCTGGTCAGCCGCCATTGCATGGTGCAAATGATGGTGCTAATGTACCAAGTGGATGTCCGGAGTCCCTAGGATGAATAGAATTCCAGGTATGCACAAACATTGCAAATTAACATGTCATTTAAGGTGGTGCAGGTTGGAGGAGTTGTTCCCCGAATAGCGGGAAGTGCCAGGCTTGGCCGCGATGATGGATTTGGGGCAAGAGGACTCAGCTTGGTTGAAACGCCATGCGGGTTTGTGTGGAGACAACAGAACGTACATGACTTGTGCTACCTTTTCGTCCACTGTACAGTGTAAACATCCGAGACCAAAATAATGCTGGAACCATGCAGGGGCGGGAGTCATGGCTAGACGGCGGGGTGCTTTGCAAGGGCTTCGCATCATCCGAAGAATATGAGAAATTCAACACAGTCAAGTCACCAACTTCAACATGTTTTGATACACCCACTTGCTGCGCTCCAGCTCCTAGGAGTATGGTTTGATGATGGACTCAGAGATTGGCATTTTCGATCTCCATGCAGAGGCACTACTGCACATGTGTGAGGTTCTTCTGAAGGTCAGTCACCATGCACACAACATGCTGCATATGTCTAGAGTGCGAGGATCCAACATGTCGAGGACTCAGACTCGGCTCTCTCCCTGGTACAGGGCTCCTCTGGGGAAGCCTGCCAGCACGATGGCGAGTGGACCAGGCAAAACCCAATGGGAATGGGAGGGGGGTAATCTCACTGATCACCGTCAGCGACACGAGTTCGCATTGTTCCAGTGTGTCTTATTATACATTTTGGATTTGGGGTTCGGATGAGCTTAGGGATATAGGCCAATCGTTTGCAACTTCACCACAGGGCATTTACATGCATTTACAATGTTTGACATGATCCAACCACTTGGACGCCTGCCTCCCTCCCTCCCTTCCTCTTTGCCACGCAATGAAACCCTGAGATGCTCAGAAGATTGCCAGGCTCGTGTCTCGCATCAAAGCCTTCGAAGAACGAAAGGCTCGGCTGAGTCTTCAGAGAATCAATCTTCTATATACAGTGTCTCCACATTCCCCCAACGGTTGAGATTCGCACGCACCTGTGATTCAAACTCCTTCAGGCGTGGCCTGGGTCAAGGGTCTCTTCCACTTTGACCACCTACAACTTCGGAAGTTTTGCGCGGCCGGCGAATTTGGGTGGGCGGCAAAGCATGGCCCGCAACCATCTAAATCTAAAGGAATTATTTCTATCGTTGATTTTCACCCGCTTGTTTGCAAGCAACATCAACACCTTCTTTAACTGCCAGGAGAGGGTGGGCAAGTACACGGGGGTGGGGAGCCATTTGTGTTTGCTTGCTTCAGTGATTGAAGTGGAGTGACGGCCCTTTGCCACCGCATATCATATTACCATTCATATCCTTTGCACGTCACGTTCTGTGAAGCATGGGGCATGTGAAGTTGACATGTTTGCAGCTCTTGCAGATCAAACAGGGGCCAAAGTGATGCTCCTGGGTGTTCAGACACAAGAGCCGCAGATGTCTCAGTTCCAGCCATGCAGACCGAAATCTGGGTCCGCCAGCGATGTTCCATTCCGAAGGTGACGAAAACGAGCCGGGGGAGCTCTTCTTCAAGTCTGTGGATAAGGAGCTTGTGAGCTCCATCCCAAACCCTTTGGCCTTGCCCGCTTCCTTCGAGGTGGATAGCAAGGCAGCTTTGCGGGAGCCCGCCTTGAGGAGTGGCTCTGTGTGGTTTCTCCAGCCTTCCGAACATGAGAGGGATATCCAGGAAATCTCACGAGTCCTACTCACGGTCCATGTGAATGGCTTTCGGATTCGATACCCGGGATCCAAGCTCATCAAGCCGGTGAGATCCCTCGCTTGGTCACCCTTTGCCGTCGTGCAGGCTTGCCGTCTTCACACTCGACTCATGGATGAGAGAATGCCCAACGTGCGACTCTTCAAAGTCTCTGACTTTCACCACGGGATTTCATCGCTCTTTGCTGTGACACATCCATGTCCTGAGGAAGCGGTGCAACAACGTGGCCGCTGGGTCGCCACGATCGCCTGTGCCATCCGGATGCTGACCCTCTCACTCTTTCCGGTCTTCAAGTTGGTCACTGCTCCCAGCCACTTGTCCTGGACCAAGACTCGCCTCGTGGCTGGGCACATGTTGCTCTTCGATCGCACCGGTGTGACACCCGTCTTTTGCGAACTTCATGTACCACTTGAAGGAAGCACGACCCTCATGGCTTACGAGGATGACTCCTGCAGATGCCTGGTGGCAAGCTTGAGCATCGACGCTGCTTCCGTCGTGACGGAACGGATGGGCGTCGACAGCAGCTGTTTCACCTTGAATGGTTACCATTTCGCAGCCAGGAGTGTGGCTGAGAAGGTCTTTTGGCTCCGAGCCATTAGCAACATCAAGGTGAAGTTGCGGCATGCGATGCTTCCCACCACTGCGGAAGAACTGAAGTACTACCGCCTTGCGGTAGAGGAAGAGATCCTGAAGTTGCCAGTCTTCAGCTTGGCGGAACCGTTTCGAATGGGAGCCCCCTTCCTGAAGCAACGGGTGGGGACTTTTTGGCCTCCCTGTGATCCGTTGAACACGGTGCGTGGTGCGCATGACATGCCCCACGCACCCCAAACACCTCGAACACCTCGGACCCCCACGCCACCACAGAGTGCCAGAGTGGCCGTGCACGTGTGAGGAAAAGAGAGCGGTGTCTCAACTTAACCAATGCTTGGCTGATGTCCCAGTTCTTCCCAGTTCCATACTTGTTGAATTTGCCATTTGGGCTAGAAAGTTGGCAATCCTTTTGCCGGGAGCACTCCAATTGAACAAGCTCGTGTTGCTTCGTAAGATGTCTAGAGTCTAGTCAAGTTTCATGATTGCTGAGTGTTGGCGCCAGACTTGTCAAGCAGCCGCTCGTGACCGCTTGTTTCCTCGTCCACTCGCCCTTCCGCCAGACGAAGTCCGGCAGGGACTATGATTTGCACCTCCTGAGGTGACCCCAAGAGTCGACCGCAAACAGAGGGATGGACCGGAAGAGCAGGATAGTTTCTTGTTAGATCTTGTTAGACGGTTTCGCTGACAAATCTGCATTCCAAAAAAAGTCTAAGGTGATCAAATTGACGAAGTCATTGATGCATGTTGAGCAGAGGCCGATGCTGGCACCTTCAACACTTTAACTTTCCACCACAGAGTGGGGGGGCCCTCACTGAAGGGGAGGTGGTCTCGGCTCGTCGCAGGGAAAATGCCCGCTACTTGCTGGAGAAGGCGGCGGTCTTCTGAGCAGGGCTGACTCTGGACAGCTTTGCCGCCTGTAGATGCCTGTACTGTATTTTTTGAAAAGTAAAATGATGCAAAAAGGATCAAAAAGGATGGAAACGGCTGGATCAGATTGAGATGATGGTTTTACAGTTTGATATGTGTGTGTGTTTTTGTGTGTGTTCTTTTGTTGCAGTTCAGTTTGCAGTTTTCAGTTTGTTGGACTGACAAGGATTCTTTTGAAGAAATCGATCAAGGGTCATCTTCTTGATTCACAATTGAGGCAGAGTCAGAACAATGTGGGTTGTGAAGGATCATGATGTCGCCTTTTCCAGGGAAAGTGTCCACAAGGAGTTCCCTGCCAGAAGGTGGGGACAGTGTCATGTCCTTGCAGGCATGTTGGAGTCAATAAAATTGAATGCGTGCTTTATTTACTGTAAACATATATAAACGTTAACTTGTGTTATGTAGTAATATTTATTATGTAAGTGGATCACTTTGTTTGAGTGCTAGCTCCAGTTCCACCAGAAGTGCCAGTTTGTATGGTCTTGTGAGGATCGGTGAGGCGTCACTCCGTTTGCGCTTCGTCGTTGCTTCGCCGACCGGGCGACCATGCCGTGCCGGTGCCGGTCGTGGCACGAAGGTGGAAGCCATGGTGAATCATGTCGTTTGGACTTGGTGGACTGAGTTGCCCTTGGTGCACCTCGAGGTCAGCAGAACTGCCATTCTGCAACGAGGAGTTTGGAGTGGGAAACGCGAGGTTGGGCCTTACTAGGTCATGAGAAGAATGCTCTCAACGGAGGTGGTCGGAATGAAATATATCATCGGATCCATTGGATTCATATTAGAGATCATTTTGGACTACAGCTTGCAGACATTCCATCTCACTCGCTAGTTAGTGCTGAGTAGGAGCGTTTTCTCTTGGGGTTCCCAAGCGTTTGCCAGTGACATTGGTGGACACCAGGGGGTCCCTAAATCACCCACTAGACCTTCTTGTCGGGGTGGCTGACTGGCGAGAAGGCAAGTAAGGCTGAGGGTCAAGTGATGAGAGGAGCCAGGCACAGCCCAAGATGTCCAATGTTTGACCGAGAAGAGCCCATTCAACTGGTGGAAGCCACACTGTGCTGAAGGTGGGAAAGAGGATGCTGCTCTACTTGGCCAAACAGACCAACTCAAAGATCAGTTGGAGGCTGGCTGGGGCTGGTTGCCATTCATAGATAGATTAGATTTCTTGCTAGTCTCTAGTCATAGCCTGTTTGCACCTGTAGATTGTAAGCATGCTCCTCTAAATTCCTCAGATTGAAAATGGACATGGGCCAATATTACATCCTTTACATGCTCCACATTCCGGGAATTTAAGCAGACTGATCGGACCGAAGTTGCTTTGACTCAACTTGCCCCATCAGCAGCAGGAGTGTGGCTCGGCATGTCTTCTTCCCTCGATTCGAGCACGTACTCTACCAGCTGCTCGTTTTGAATGTTTAACTGTTTTATGACTTCTGACATGCCTCACCTGTTGGTAATTTATTTTTTCCGACTAGCTCTACTCCATTTGTGGGTCCAACTTGGTCCAACCATTTGCCGGTTTGATCAATGCTTGTCATCATGACCCAAGAGCTGACTCAGGATTCCACGCTCCCAACTGCTATCTCAGGTCCACCATGATCCCCCATTTTGCTGCTCTGAGGATGTGGTGTGTATTGCATGAGGGTTGGGAGACTGAGGCTTTCAGACGATGCTTTGGAATTTGGATGTTCGGTGTGGTGGCGGCTCCACTCCAAAAAAAGACAGCACCAACACAAGGCCCATTACCCTCATTACCTTGTCGTGACATGGTGGATTTTTAATTTACCAGGTGAAATGGAGCCTTCCTAATCTCAATACCATGGCCATACAGTGATCTACCAGGGCCTCTCAGTTTGGTTCCTGTGTCCTTTGGAACTTGTCCTCGCTGTTTATAGTCGTATATATAGGCGCGTTTTTTCGTGTTTATTAATCCCGACAATCCCGACAAGCTCAAGTTGAGGTTGGGACATACGTGATGTCACGAACATCACTCTTGAAGCCAAGTGGGGCTCATACTTGGAGGACGTCAGATCTTCGTGGTCCCATTTGGCGGACAGTATAGATGTTACTAACTAACTGAAATCAATCACAGACATTCAGAAAACGTTGGAAAAGACCACCAATCACCAGCTTGTCGCTTGTTTGGAACCACCAGGATCCACAGCACACGTCGCGTTTGGCGGAGCTACGACCCATGTGGGCCACATGCTGAGTGCTCTTTGCGACGCGTTTGGCGACGCGTGCGACGCGACGCGGAGGGACGGGGTCCGGTCTGAGGTGTCCAGCGAGGCATTGAGAAGAGCTGAAAATGTGCCTTGGTCGAAGCGACGGGAGAGCGATGGAGAGCGGTTGATAGAGAGGCACGTGCCTTTTTCTCTTTTTCCTGCGAACAGGACTTGCTTGTGGCCTTTGTGACATGTGCGACATGCAAGCAAGCCTTTTTTTGCTCTTGCTTTTTGGAAGAGGCGCTGAGGGAAGCTAATGAATGTCCACCTTCTCAGATTGATAGATGCAGGGGCAGATCATGGCTTTGTCCACCGAGGCTCGGGCGCATCTTCTAATTCGAAGCCGGTGCACAAGACCTTAAATTCTCGATTTCGGAAGAATATCGAATAATCATACAGAATCATACATATTTTCAAAATTGTCCAAAGTAACCGGGTGTTGGCATGTTGCTGCCCAATGAATGTACAATCATCAAATATCATCAAAAGACGTGCTTGCATCAAGATGAGGAAGATCATATGAGAATGTCTCCTTTGCAACTCGTATCATGTGCAAGAGCTATTTATATAGTAATCTGGGCGATATGGGTTGGACTGCGAGGTTTTGTTAGAACACTCAAAAGAGAACCTGGAATCGGCATTTGGAGGATGTGCCTGGTGCAGGAGCCTCCACTGTTCATTTTTCACGTGGACAAGGAGGACTTGAGGCGCCTTCAGTGCATCCTTAGATCAGAAACCCATCGTTTCAGCCCGCCAACCGGTGCAATCATTTTGCTAGATGTGTGCAGCTCCCATTATTTGTTCTCGGCATGTTCAGAAGTGCGTCAGAGGATTTTTGAGAACATTCGTGCACCCAGTGAAACCTTGCAAACAACCACTGCAACCTAGCCACAAACCATCATCAAGCAAGAAGAGCGTGCACAACGCGAAAAGAATGGAAGACTCACTGAGGCAAAAGGCGACAAGTATACACAAGTATCAAGGGCAGAATATGAATATGTGTAATTCTCCTTATTAAATTCCAAACAACAGTGGACTAAGCAGAGCCCAGTGTCCTCTGGCACACCCCCCCACCATGAGCTGGGGTCGGCGGATATCCAGTGGCCATCATCAGAGAGCGCGGCCCTCTTCCATCAGAATGCTGTGTCTAGGCTGGGGCATGATCCACTGGGGCATCCATCAGCTGTGCCAGGTACTCCTTCGGAGGCAAGAAGTACAAAGGCCCAGGGAGATTCGCGACATAATGCCAGGGATGCCCAAGTGACCATACTTCAGGTTAGTTTATGATAATTGGTGGGGCCTAGGAGAAAAGGTGTTGATCAATTGCAACGTCATAGTCATCCGTTTGGCATCATTGGGAGGACACCCTGTCATGTCATGCCCAAAGGTGTTTCAATGTACTGTTCCGTTTCTTCAAGTTGTTGCTGTTCCTTTAGTCAAGAAATCATCCGAAGCTAGACCGGTCAACTGTCGTCCACGTTTGAACCCATTGTCCCCTGGCTGGCTGCCACGCAGCCAGAACTCTGGGAAGATCTCTTGCTGAATCTCCTGAAGGTGGACGACAGGAGCCATTCCGCAAAGGGAAAAGGCTGATGCTAAGATATGCCAAGCCCAAGCCACTATATGCTAATCTATGCTACTCGTAACTAATTAAGGGTGTTGAGCCAGACCTGGACTGCCAAGACTTTGGCTAGCTCCTCCCAACCAAACTTGCTTTTTGTTCCCTTACAGCCTTACTGCTAGTATAAAAGGGGAAGACACGCACGTGGGTTCCATGGATCATTGAAAACAGGACGTCCAAGCACCGAACGGCCGAACCGACCGGTAGCTGGTCCCGGTGTCATCGCGTGAACCGTGCACCGCTCGGTTGGAGCTGATGATATCGATGGTTCACATGTGGCCGAACCGGTTTTCCAACCGATGTCAGAAACCTTGGCTCCCAGTCGTGTAGCGTCGCATCGCCGGCCAGGCCAGGTCTCCAGATTCAACACACACGCATCCATCACCGAAGAGTCCATCTCTTGGTTTGAACAAGTTGGATTCGCAGCCCAGACCTTTCGCAATGGCCGACCTGGTGCTCATTGGCACTGCAAAAGCCAGGCCCTTTCGCAATGTTTGGATGTTGGAGGCCGGTGTTGGGTGGGAATCGGCCAACATTGGGAATGATTCTTGGGAGGCTGACCGCCTTGAACATCAAACTCAGAATGCACTGGGAGGTCGTACAGATGATCCGGAATTTGCTAACCCCCGACTCCTTGGCGAACCAAAGTCCGGGTTGAAGATCGTGCCCCCCCACATAACCACAAAAGAGCTTTCAGCGGCTCAGAGTTCGAGAAACATCGGAGCTTTCTCGCGCTTCATCATCAGGAGTTGTTGTGTTTTAATTGTTTTTTTCGCTGGACAACTCCTGCACTGTGCACGCGTGGTTGCACCAGGAGCTTCAAGTGCCTTACACGCTGCGACCGGAGATTCCGCGGAGCCCGGAGGTCTTGGCCATGAACCGCTCCGGAAAGGTGCCAATTTTGAAGGCGAGGGTTGGATGCAAAGACAATTGATCCATGATGGTCCATGGCCACACGTTGAACCTGTAGCATTTTATAGTCATCATGCATCATATGCTCAAAGTATGTATGTGTTGGTGAAGGTGCATGGCATATGATTGATCCTGCTGAGACTTCTGCAAGCCATTGCCTGAAACATCCTGAAACAATGCTGCCTGAGAGCACCGCTGCCTTGCAGCACGGCAACTTCATCATGACGGAGTCTGCGGCCATTAACACCTACTTGGCGGACGCCTTTCGTGGCCATGTTCCGGAGCTGGTCCCACCAGCAGGAAGTCAACTTCGTGGCAGGCCGGCCAAAGCAATGGAAGTCAACTTCATTTGGAACAACATCGGCCCGAAGTAGGTTGGGGCAAAGGAGTTGTTCATCAGGCACACCAAGACTCACCCAAGCCTGGCTTGCGTGCTTGACAGGTACGAGGAATTGGTCTCCTGCATCATCACGGAGTTAGATGCACAGGACTGCCAGCTGCGAGCCCGAGCGATCCACCGTCATAGACCCATCGATTCCCCATCGACCGATGCGTCGAGTGATGCATCCGTAGGGGCTGTGGATCCACCGGAAGCACGAGGCGATGAAGCAGTTCTTTGGGCATATCCCTGAGGACGGGGAACGCCCTGGTGACTCACGAGTCGTTGATGCCCTGGATGCGGTGCAGCACCACTCAAAATCACTGAAGGAGAATTCATAGGGCCTATACTTACAGCCTGCAGGGGGGAGGAGGGTTGATGCTGGGGCGACGTAACACATTTGTTCCTGGAATAGGCTGCCAGGTTAGGATTTGCTACATAGTGTTGCTTTGTTTCCAGGCAGTGCAGCATGCCCAGCAACACTTTTGCAATACAGTGAACATTCTCTTGGCACAGCTCCGAGAGGCGGGAAGGACCAAGGGGCCGCAACACGACGGGCCTGCGGGACGTGACGCTGGTCATTTGTTCGAGAGTTCAAACAGAGGGATCCAACGGTGAAACAGGTTGGAGACTACTTGCTTGGCAACTTTAGTGCTGCTGACATTCTGTTGGTGCATTGCAGGAGCCTCAGTTGTTGCTTTTGGCAAGGCTGAAGGTTGCAGGAGCAACGCTGACGGATTTCATCGCAGGGGGATCGTTGATGCTGTCGTGCATTTCGGAGGCTTGGATTGGGCCGGAGTGATCAAGTGGCTCCCATCCACCTCAATTGAGAGTGAGCTGCAGCCAGTACTAGAGCAGTACCTGGAACGTTGTCACAAGCGTGATGCATACCAGCGTGCTGTCGCACAGCGGAAAGCGAAATTGTGAGGAAAAGGTTTGCGCCGTGGCTCAAATCTCAGGATGTTGGGACTCAGAATCTCAGGATGTTTGGACTCGACACCGCTGTGTTTCCTAAGAACAGAGGGCCGACTCATCAAAGCTCAATTTGGCAGTTGTAGCAGCAACCTACCAATCTTGCAGTGACTGCAGACTTCCAATATCTCAGGACTTGTCCCACTTGGTATTCTTTAATTTGCCACTACCAGTGAAGTCGGTTTGATCCATGAGCCAATCATATACGCTCTTGACTTCAAGCAGGACAGACTACGCGGAAGAGAACATCCATTGACGCCTTCCAGGCCTTGGCAATCGGTTTCCAACAGTACGTTGAAGCATTCGAGGCACAGGCACTAATCTAGGTGTGGGTCACCCATCATTCATAGCTGTGGGTCAGTCAGATTTGTTGGGGCTTTTGACCCACAGCTATGCTTTGCCGCTGTTTGCAGCATGCTCAATGCAGCCGGGCGATCGGCCCCAAACGGCTGCTGAGACTTGAAGGTCGCTGTTAGGCTCAAGGCAGCCAGGGACGGGAAGCAATGGTGTTTGAGGAGCAGAAGGAGGTTTGTACGGGCTGAAGCGTGCACAGTATATAGGTGCATATCATACATGTGCATACTGTATCTTTATATACTTATTCTCCAAGAAGATGTGCAACGGCGCGAAGACTGACAGGCGTTCAACAAGATGATCTTGGTTGATTGAATTGCTAACGCATATCATATAACAAGTATCCACATGAATTTGCAAATGCCGCATCCTGGGTTTTGGAAGGGGTTCGCGGAATGATTCTGAATCAGTGCGACTGGGCATGGCTGTGCATCATTATCCAAAAGTTGGACTTTGGCACAGTTTGTCGCAGTTTCATCCATTTCTGTGACCAACTTTGAGATAACAGGCTTTGCAGGGCCTATGGGATCAGTCGGGCAGAGACCAGCTGCGGGAACCTGAGCTTAAACAGATGTGAGGAAAAGAATGAACAACCACAACAACTCATGTACAAGACTCTTACAGGACTGATCCGCATTGATCAGGGAACATGAACGGACTAATTTTAGAGAGAGAGAGAGTCGTTGCAAAAGCATCATTCAAGAACATGCTTTGGAAGCGACAGGGGTGCTTTGAAACTTAGATCGGGGGTGCATTAGATCGGTTGTGTTGACTGTTTTGGAACTTGTCACACCTGGAGCACGTCCTGCTTTTGTTTAGGATGATTGTTGCTTGTATTTTGGCTCCCCTTCTGGGGATATGTGTGTGTGTGTGTGTTTGTTCTCCTTTTGTTCCAGGGAGCACGTCCAAGAGGTCCGAATCCGAACCGTTGTGTTCACCCCTGGCTCGGGTGGTTTTCACTCTCGCTGACGAGGCAATGGTTTGTCGAAGACGACGTTGCCATCATGGAGCCTCGGCGGTGTGGTACGTTGTCAAACATGTGTATCACGTATATAATTAATCACTTCCTGAAATCACAATGAAAGCGGCATGGCTTGGCCCCTTGGACGACCATTGTCCGAATTCCAAACAGGTTGCTTTCCAGTGTCATGATCATTCCGGGGAGTGTATCACTGGCAGCCCACGCAAGCATTTGGGGACGTTGAGTTATGGTGACATGAGAGATATGATTCAATGATGAGATTCGATTACGTGAGCTCATAGTATGGCTGACATTGACTGACAACGCATCAAGGGGTGCCCTTCTTTTCGCCAACCAACTTTTTGGCCTTTCTGGGTGCAGCAGAATCCAATGAAGCATTCAGAATCATCACCGCAGCTCCAACACATCTGACCGCCTGCCATGCAATGATCCCGCCCCATGCTGGTATGGCTGCCATGCTTCTAGTTTGCCTTCCAGCTTTTGAAAGAAGGTGTCCTGTACCATCAGACCAATCAAGGTCACATTCCCGAGCTGAACAGACATCTAAGAGCAGGACACTGACCAACGAACCATTCGAGTGGAACCCCCGAACTGAACTGACTCACCTGTGTAGACCGACTGAGGTGTGGAAAGGCAGTCGCCGAGCCAGGTCTTTCAAGCGACCTGGAGAAAGTTAGGGACTGCCTGGCTCGGGGTACCTGGTGCAGGTTTTGGATCAGTTGGTGACAGGCGAGTTTTGACGGGGTGTGCAGAAAACCCCACAATTGTGATCATTCTCCGGGTCGGCGAATCAGACAACATCATTGCCAAACAACTGACCTTGGGGAATTGCTGAATCTGATTCCCACCAAGTATTCCAGGAGAGTTTCTTCTTTGAGGAGCTGTTCGGGGTGGTGCTGGGTGTCTTGTTGCACCGTCTTTTTTCATTGCAAGAACCTCCGTACTCAGGTTGACCGCTGGTAAGGAGGGCGAGCTTGTGTGGGGCTCCGGAAAGTGCCCTGGCAGATCTTGGGGGGGGGCAGTTCTCCATGATGGACACATTGTTTTCCACAAATACTTGGTGTGAATGGCCGTGACCACAAGTGTTTCCCTTAATTTGCTAAGGGTGTGTGGCGAAACCAAGTGCAGTTCGCCAGGCAATCCGGCGTGCTCAGTTTCTGGTGCCAACATAATCCTTTTGCAACTGTCCCATGCCTTTGTCTTTGATAGGCGAAGTGCGCTTCCCACTATCCCTTCGTGGAGCCCTGCCGAGGTTTATTTTGGATCCTGCCTTCAAGTTCTCTACTTAGCATTGACACGCTACCAGTCACAACTGCTGTTGGCCCGCATCCATGGCTTAAGGTCGTTCGTTGTTGGCTTTCAGCAGTGCTTTGTGGGAGGTCGTTCGCTCCGTGATATCATTGGTGACCGCTAAGGTCTGGCAGTAAGGCAGTTTGGCTGTCTGGCCAGGAGAGAGTTGCTTGCAGGGTGGGGGGCGGTCTTTCCAGTTCGTTCCTAAGTTGTTGGCCACCAGCGTTTCCTATTTATTTATGCGTTTATTCCCATTTGAACATATTTGACATTATTTTTGCATTTGTTGCATGAGAGGAACCGTTTGCTTGCCACCGGCCTTTTGCAAGCTTTCACGCTTTTGATGGACAAATAAGATGGTGTCCTCCCATTGAGCATGCACAGACCAACGACTATTATATATTTATATCATATATATGTATAGAATGCTTTACTCAGGTGTTGATTGTTCTCAAGGACCGCCAGACTGCGCTATACCCTTTGGAAAGAGACAAGAGCTGTAGCTATTTTCCAGATCCCCGCAACCCTTGCTGCAACCCAACATTTGTCAACATTTTTTCAACCAAAGTCAGCGTTGCAGCCGAAGTCGCTGCTGTGCAAGGACAAGAGCCTTGCCTTCACTTGGGAGTTCGTAGGTGCTGAAGGTCCATCGAAGGACAGGTCGGTGATGGTCTTTCTTCGCGTCGGGACTGAGGGAGTATAAAAGGGGAACCACTGAAGATGCAAATCACTGAACACTGCGTAAGTTGTGACATGAACATGATGTATACATAAATCAGCCTATGTAGTAAAACTTGTAACCAGTATTGTGATGTCTTGTGCATAGCACATCACATATGTTGCTGTATAGGTATAAGTTGAGTGGGGATATCTCACCTGTGAACTTTGGTTTGGAAGAGTCGAAGCATCCGCTGGAGGAGGGCGCTCCTGAGCCCAGAGTGAGGCGCAAAGGCAAGGGAGGCAAAGGAAAAGGTTTCTGAGTTGCATTTTGTGGTGTATATATATGTTAATATATATATATACACATCATGTGACATCCATATTTGGTGACAGCCCGGCCCCCCTCGCCATTTGTTTAAGGTCTTTTTGAAGGTACCCCTTAGTTATAATCCCTGGAGTTCAATTTGCGTTCATTTGCTTTCATGTTGGGTTCATTCATGGTGTATTCTGCTTTCATGTTGCTTTAACTTGCTTTCATTCTGCCTTCATTACCATGTAAGAAGCATTGCTTGTGTTTGTCCTGCACATTTGGGATTTGGCTGGGGCGCTTTGGAAGTTTGCTTGGTGCAATGATTGCTCATGTTGCTTGCTGAGCTGGAACGAGCAACATCAGGAAGCTTAGAGGCCCATGTCGCAGATTCAGCCCTATGTCCCTATGTCACGTGGTCGTCACGTGGTCCCCTCTCTTATAGTTCGCATGGCTTGTGGCCCGATGCCACCTCACTTTGGCGTGTCAGTTCAACTCACCTCATTATTTGGCACCCATTTGCATTGCACCCAATTCTCTTTTGAGACACTGCACGTCAAACGCATCAACTCATCATGACGCCTGATGCCTGGTAGTTATCAATTGAGTAAAGTTTGTTCATGTATGTTCATGTTCCCCATGTTCCAGCTCATTTGGCATCATCGACTTGATCGCCGCATTGCATTAGTGGTCCTTTCCTTTCTTTCAGTGTTTTCTTTCCAAGCACATGATGAAGCTCACCTTGTCATGTGCACCTCCTCAAAAAAGCAAATCTCCACATGTTTGGGAGCATCATCTGGATGGTCACCTCGCATACGGACGACGACTCGTACTGGACGACTCGACTCCTGGATGCGGGCATAAGTCCCACGTTGCGGCCTTTTCACGCCGAGGAAAGGGTAGAGGGCTCGGAAAGGGCAAGGGTAAAGGAAAAGGAGAAGTCGGGAAGAGTGGCAAGGGCGGAAAGGCTGCAGCTGGAGGAAAGAAAGGCTCGATGGCGGGGAAGCATGTGGAAGCCAGATGAAGCCAGTAGGATTGTGAATATGAGTTTGCCACCTGAATAGATGTTGGTTTAGGGCCAGGTTGCGTTTGAACGGTTCTTGGCAGAGAACTCGTGGCTCCATCCGAGCATCAGATTCTGTTGGTTGAAGGCGTTATTGTGGTATATGCTTTGATTATCTTTGATGTGTTGCTGGCAGCATGTAGTATTTATGCCTTGTCCTTCCTGAATCAGACTTGCGAACAACTTGCCTTGTCCCTGGAGGAGGACTGTAGGGCATCGATCTCTTGATTCCTTCGCCAGGGAAAGGTCTTTCCGGAAAGGGCGGAAAGTCCAAAGGCAAAGGATCAAAAGGTGGCCAGGCGCACCACAGGGCACTGGCCTTGTGCCCCCCCGTGCAGAATCATTTGCCTCCGTGTTTTCCTCGGCCGAATCGAGGGTAGTTTGGCTGTTGAATCCAGTTCTCATTTGAGTTGTTTTCTTAGTATGACTACACACATGTCAGCCTGTGTGAAAGACGCACTTCGGTTAAAGATGATACTGGTGCTGTGAAGCATGACAGAGGTGTTCCAGAGACACATCGACAAAGCGGATGGCGTGCCTCGCACGTACGAGGAGAGATCCGGCAGTGTTTCGCACAACTGTATGAACTGTCTTCAGATAGCAAAACATTTACAAGCACACACACACTCTGACACTTGTATTCAGTTAACTCAATTTCCCGATGGGAAGAAAGGCGAAGAACCGCAGGGCGCAAAGGTCAGTGAAAACAGTATGGTTTAACCTTGTTTGCAGTGGCACTCGAAAAGACGATCGGACACTCAGCGTGGCTGCAAGTCGGCTGTAAGGCTGCGGTGGGTTTGGGGGCGGTAGCATGAAGAACCATTGAACCAACGAACAGCGGCAGGGTGGACCATTGGAGTCAGTGTGTTGGGAGCAGGTACAGGAAGGTGATCAGCCTTCCCTTCCCATCCATGACCGCAGCTTCGTTGCACACGGTAGGTCATGGATGCCGTGTGCCCCTGCTGGTTGAAAAAGTTAGTGGAAAAGCGTGGAAAAGGTGGCGGTGGAGATCCCTTTGCCCAGGGGTGGACACACACAGATCGCCGCATTCGGCGCTTTTTTCAAAAACCCTGAGCTGGGTATGAGCTGATTGTCAAGTGCGATCATGCATCTCGAATTAGAGTGGAGAACTCCAGTGCACAAGCTTGAGTTCTGCTGATGAAAAGGTCACGGCATCAATCTAAAATTGCAACATGTGGAAAAACAACATGCATGATGGATCCGAAATCTGGTGAAGGAGAAAGTAGCCGTTTTTTGGCCCGGCGGCCGATGCATCTGTTGATTCAAAGGATGTGTCAATGACTTCCAGTGGAAATCCGGTGAGAGGTGGCATGTTGGGGTGGTTGCTTGCCGAAGTGGAAAACCGCGCCCCAGTGACGGGGATCACACTCAGCACCCGAGTGGGACGGCTGAGCGAAACACACTCTGACACTTGTATTCAGTTAACTCAATTTCCCGATGGGAAGAAAGGCGAAGAACCGCAGGGCGCAAAGGTCAGTGAAAACAGTATGGTTTAACCTTGTTTGCAGTGGCACTCGAAAAGACGATCGGACACTCAGCGTGGCTGCAAGTCGGCTGTAAGGCTGCGGTGGGTTTGGGGGCGGTAGCATGAAGAACCATTGAACCAACGAACAGCGGCAGGGTGGACCATTGGAGTCAGTGTGTTGGGAGCAGGTACAGGAAGGTGATCAGCCTCCCCTTCCCATCCATGACCGCAGCTTCGTTGCACACGGTAGGTCATGGATGCCGTGTGCCCCTGCTGGTTGAAAAAGTTAGTGGAAAAGCGTGGAAAAGGTGGCGGTGGAGATCCCCTTGCCCAGGGGTGGACACACACACACACACACACGCACACACTGCTTTTCCTATGAGGTTGCACTATGTTGGGCTCTTCCGGGCATTTGCCATGTGTAATTAGTTTGCATGTGTGAGTGTGCGCACTTGTCAAAGTCAGACATCAAGAAATATAAAGTGAAGGCATGCACAGCACTCACTGTACGCTTGAAGCTGCAGCTGTCGCAACGCCAATGCAGCTGAAGCCGCACAAGCTAATGTGTGCTTTGGTAAATTGAGCATATCGCACCGTGAACCTTGTTGTCCTCTTTGATCCTGCTTTCCTTCCAAGCTGTTTTTATGTGTTTGCCCCCCCAAACAAACATGGAAGTGGACAACCCCCTGTTGGTCTTTCCAGGGGCCAGGACGTCCACTTCAGACGGACGTCCCGCACTCCAGACCCTTGCGGCCTGACGCTGGTGATTCGCCTTCCGGTGTCATGTCACAGGCACATGTCATGACAGGAGATGTTGCTGCGCTATGCCTACTCTTACTCCAGACTTGAGGCTTATCTGAAGTGAGGCATGGAGAAAGGAAGCTGTACTTGGGACTGTTTGCATGTTTCGCAACTGAGAGGAGTGCAAGGGAAGAAGCATTGGCAGGTAGAGTATGGTAAAGGGCCTTGCTTTCTGTGGACTTGTGCCTTTGTCTTTAAGGACATCCTTGCCTATTTCATGGACTGTGTCGAAGAATCAGCAGGCGAGGTCTCCAGCAATTCCAGCTGTATGCTCACAGAAACGATGCTCCCACTGGATGCTGAAAGCAGCCGGGGCCATGCTGAAATTCCCAAGGAGTGATTTACAAGCATAGAAAACGCAATCCAGCAAAACATCAACTGCGGCTTTGTCACTTTCAGCCTCTCCCTTAAGAGAGAGGGGTTGAGAGAGGACATTAGTCATTTTCGGAAAATAGCGAGCATATTGTCCACCAGGAGTTGCTTTTTGGATCTTTTTGGTCTCGAACGTTGTGGCTGATTATATAGTCAGCCTACCTCCATGTGCATTGCTTTTGGCTCAAGCTTGCCACGAGGCAGAATATGCTGAAACACCGTATGGCATCGTCAAGATCAGACCATAAGACTATACCATAGGTTTGCCAAAACCAATGGGACCATAGCTGCCAATCCGAAAGCACGACAAACAGTTCTAAACAAATGCTTAAGAGCAACACTAGACATTTCATGAAGCTATGTGGCCCGCCATGTGGCCTACTCCCGCATGGCAACATGCTGCCAAGCAGACCTGCTGGGGCAGCACAGGGCCGCGCTGGTTCGAACGAAGCCGTTTTGGGGATCCGACCACCCTTGGGACTCGGACGACACTCACAGTGATGTGCTGCGCGGCCCGTGCGGCCCGTTGTGCGGCGCGTGCGACACGTGGCGGGAGAAGGGCGCGGGGGACGCGCAAGCCGCTGCCGACGCTGAAGCAACTCCGTGAGAAGCTGAAGGAGCTGGGCCTACCCAGTTCGGGGAAGAAGGCAGATTTATTGGAGGCAGGGGGAGGGCTAGGAATGGAAATGGGTATGTACCAGATGGTGGTGGATACAGAAATGTGAAAGGGAATGACGGGTCATCCTGTGGAAGTTCGATGTTAAAGAAGCTGAATCTAGCTCAGCTCAGCCCAGCTGAGTGTGCCTACCTTGCAGGCGTTGCGGCAGGCAGTGCTCGAGGCCGAAGATTTGTTGGAACCCGAGGTTCTCCCACCGAAGATGGTGAAGTCCGGAGGCGATGGTGAAGGCGTACACCCGGTGGACACCAAGATGAGATCCAGTTGGCAGGCGGGGGAGTTGGACCAGTTCGGACCATGCAACTTCATGGACTCTCCCAGAGAAGCTAAACTCACCCAGTGATCTACTGGTGTACCCGTCGGTATCCTCGGCCCAGTACGGCCTGACGGTTTTCTCGGCACCCATGCAGGCAGTCACGGTGAGCTTGGAGGAGGACTCGGAGGTCATCCGCCCAGGGGACCGCGTCTTCCTCCGTGCGCACACCGGGCGGTACATTGAAGTGGAGCGCGACCGAGCTTGTGCTCGTTGGGACGATTGCGGCGGATGGCAGGAACTGGTCATTGAGAAGAGCCCTTTGGTGATTGAGGACACTGATTCCTGGCAGTGCATAAAGGCAAATGTGCATTTCTCCCAGTACAGAGTTTCTTCTTGGGCATTTCGTACCTTATTCTATCAGGAAAAAGGGACGAGGATGACTATATAAATCATTACTGTGTATATAATATATATATATATATGTGTGTGTGTATGTTTTGTGAGAATGTGTATATTTTTATGGTTAATATCACTGACATAATAGTGCGTTTTTGTTGCTTTCAGAGGTTCTTCAAGCCATCTAAGGATCCCACTCTTTTCCATCCAGGTGATCTAATCTTCTTGAAAGCTCACACCGGTTGTTACTTGGAAGTTCAGGGAGAAGGGAGTCCTGTCCAAGCACGCTGGGAAGACTTGGGCGTTTGGCAAGGTCTGGAGCTTGCGAAGAAAGACACGGACCCACTGAGGGTCGGAGATATTTTATTTCTGAAGAGTCATACTGGGCTTTATGTCGACGTGCAGGGGGATGGGGTTCAAGCTCGCTGGGCGGATGAAGGGGATTGGCAAGCGCTGACCATCTCGCGGTGAGCCGTTTCCATTAAAGCTCGGAAGAAAGGAGCGACCAGAGTAGGTGGAGCAAGGACAGGGTCGTTGCAGCAAAGTTCCGTTTCTGGAGCTCCAGTGACTCCCATACTTTGTTTCATGCTAGAAAAGTTTGCCAGTAAAGCCTTGCTTTTGGCGCTTTTTTTGGCCCAAGCTCAAGGGTGTTCCTTGGGCCTGAGAAGCTCGTGCTTCGACAAAAGGACACGACGTAAAGACCAACGACGCTAGGTGAAAAGACCGGATTGTGCTCTTGAATAGTGGCAAACATGTTGCTGCCACTGCACTTGGGTGTCAATTCTTTCTGCTGTGCAAAACTGCAAAACTATATATATATGTGTGTGTGTGTTTCTTTTGAAGCGGAATTGCTTGGGCAGGTCAAGGGAAAGGCAAAGGCGGCAAAGGCGGCAAAGGTGGCAAAGGCAAAGGGAAGACCGGCAAGATGAGTGGCAAATCTGGTGGCAAGACCAGTAAGGGCACCACGAAAGGCCTGGTTCCAAGCCCTGGCAAGGGCCCTTCTTCCACAGCTCTCGAGGATCGGCGCGCCTTGGTGGAAGCCATTGGAAATCCAAGATGTTGACCTTCAGCCCCCCGTACCAAGCGAAAAGGCAAAATAGATGATAAAAGGCAAGAACGGAAGAAGTGTTACGTTTCTGTTGATTGTTGCGCTCATTGGTGTGGAGATTGTGTGTTAAAGTGACAGGAGCAAGGCCGCTACTAGGGGCTCCTGGCCTTACTACTCCCAGCAAGGACGCTACTAGGGGCTCCTGCCCTTAGTACTAGGAGCAAGGCCGCTACTAGGGGCTCCTGGCCTTACTACTAGGAGCAAGGACGCTACTAGGGGCTCCTGCCCTTAGTAATAGGAGCAAGGACGCTACTAGGGGCTCCTGGCCTTACTACTAGGAGC